CATTTGATTGAAATAAATCTAAATAAAAAAAAAAATTAAATATATTTTATTGAAATAAAATACTTCCTATTAAATTCGATGGTGAAAGGGATCCGAATCAAAAAAATATTATTAACTTTTTTAATAGGTAGTGACCAATCAATTATATTATAGATCATCAAAACGTGTCTAATGATGATTTTAAGATACTTATGTTAAAACAATGAAAAAAAAAAACAGTGTAAAACGACAAAAAAGACGATGATCGTAACAACAGTCGTTTTTCGCCGTTTTCGAGTTATTCTATACGACATGAGTAACAGTCTGAAACCAATGTATTCGTATTGTTCAATATGTTAATTTGGAAACAAGGAACGCTTTTTTTTTTAGAAAAAGACTTCATTCAAGTATGTTTTTTCTTCGATATACATCGATATTTTCTTCTATCAGTAGAATGTACTAGAAATTGTTGTAAGAACTAAGCTTTATTCAACGAATAAGTGTTTTCTCGCTGTCTTTTATTTCTCTTTTGGGTCGTGATTTTTTGATTATGCAATGCAGTCGCAGATTATTTTTTAACTGTCGTTTTTTCAAGCATATTCTTTTAGAATATTCGATAGAGTTTCTGTACTGCTCTAAGTGCAAATTATGACTGACTGCTATTTGAATCGTATTTACTCATGATTATTTGAACAATGACACACAAACAAAGATAGAAAACAGTCACTGGATAGATGCATCTAGTAGAAAACTTTCCCTAAAGAAATTCACTTCAGGAAACCAGTTTGACTTAACATTATAGTCGTTAGAATAGTTTAGAGAGACTTCTGATAGATTATGTCGATTCGATCAGAAATCATTTAAAGTTTAATACTTGCCAGAAAAAAAGTGATTCTACGTTACTTGATGTTGCATCAAAAGTAGCACTAGAAACTTAGGTTCAGTATAGTAAGAAGAAAATGTCAAGTGTTTTCACAACAGCTCAGTTGAGACAAAAGAAAAGCCGATCTGATAGAATGATCTAGTACTTGGAACATAATCAAGAATATAAAAAAGATTATCGGTGCACATTCTGCTGACATAATCGTCGGAAAATGAGCTCTGCTAGACTGTCTAAACTTGTTCAAAACAGATTGACTCTCTACGATGATGAATATAACATTGCTACTACTATCATCTAGAGAGATAACAACTTTTGTCATGCAGGTCCTCATGTCGATCCATCTTATAAGTTCCTTGTTGTTCTCGTGTAAAAAAGTGACTTTGCCAAAGAAAATCTTGTTGATCAATTTAAGTGCATTTCCTGTTGAAGATCTCATCTTAACGATCTTCGCAGTACTTGTAGTCTTGATGCGAGTTTGCATATCGAGCACAAAGACGGTTCGAAGCATGGGTTCGCAAAATAGAAATTATCTGGTAGTAAGTGCAGTTGTCGTCTTTCCATTTGTCATATCGATCTCAAATGCTGTCCAGACAGTTTACAGACAGACTAGCATATGATAAAAAATCATTCGCTTATCAAATAAATCAATCGAAAGTGACATATGATGACCTCACATATTCGAAACATTGGAAATCGACATTTTTCAACTTCTTCATTTTGATCTGCATATTCAACGACGGAATCTTGCAAAATGAGACGAGTAAAAGAGAACGCAGATCGAATCGAAAAGAGCACATTCATCGACAAAGATCCACGAGTATGTTTTAATTCTCAAGCTCATAGATCGATCATTGTAAAAGAATAACGTTTGACTGAAAGTGACCATTGTAACAAAAGATTTTCCCGTAACGGGTCGATAATCTCAACTGTAATGACGAGCACATCAGAATGATTTTCTAATAGCGCTGCTTGTCTTTTTTTTTTATCAGACAAACGATAGCAATGAGAGTAACATCGATGACACTAATAGCGATAACCGTCAACACAATAGTGAACACAATCAAAATGCAGATAAGGTCCTCCGAGGAAAGAAATCTCATCGATGGACCATATTGCTTGATTAGATGTCTCTCTCAGGCAGTTCAATAACCTTTTGTGTATTACTTCATAGCAGTATCACGACTAGAATATCGATCATAAGAAGCTCAAATCTGATACACGATCTACTATCAAGTATTCTATAGGTTGAAAAAGTCTCTGCGTCGATCGTTCTCTGTAACATATAGCACGCACTTGTCAGAGCTTATCCCACGGTCAATACGATACCGATGCACCTGGAAATATTTTATATTGGGTCGCTCGAAATAATTTCAATGACGACAAGCGAGTGGATCTAGTTGTTTCACAATATCGCGAAGGGAAAATTCATATGTTTCTCAGTCATTTCAACGGAGGCTTTCGACTATCAGTCTCGTATTTAACACGTACGAGTTCGATACTATACACTTTTGGTGTTTCAGTGGCGGTAACTACGTCAATTTTGCTGTTCTCAATAGTTCCCAAACATAATATAGTCGTGTCTCTCGATCATACCAATAATATTTTTCAGGCACAGATTTCATTTTCCACTGTACTTGGTAATTTAATTATTGGTCAAAGCTTCGATCTGCTAGTCCCAAATTCAACATGATGATTCCTATCGTTTACTTCCATAGATTAGAGACAATTCAATATTTATTAGTAGGTAAAATTATAAATCGAGATGGAGTTTAGGCACACAGAAGTATGTTCTCGCCGACTACAATTTTTACTAAGAATTTGATCGCGGATTTCTACTCATTGGCATTTTTCTCTTTCTATCTCTATTCTTTTCGCGAGAAACAGTTTCGTATTTTCCGTCTTTTCCGGTGTCATTTCTATCAGTGTTGTACCTGAGATGTCTGTTAAAGAATGTTCTAACCAAACAAATCGTTTAACAGGTCAGATGAAGTCGACACAACTAGATAATTTGCTACCTTCCACTACACCCACCCTATGTATAGAATCAAAGATTCCAGCATAGCAGAATTTATACTTTGTACTTTCATATATTCTAATACATGTATTGTAACAAAATCATATGCATACATCTGGCATGAGGATATTCTGAATTTCTACAAACTACGTTATTTAATTTCCCACGCTCTTCAATGAATGCGTATTTAGTAAATCGATTGTATCTACAATTCTTCAGTTTTGTAGCTCGACATAGATATACATAAAAAACATTCAGAAGATGCTGACGAATGTGAAGGTGCCATGAAGTCACACATTTACTCTTATCGCGTCATTTTCCTTAATGCAGTAATTGTTATAGTCAGATAAAGTACTTGGCTTTTTCAGGTTCCTACAGAAAGCTCCACCGGCTTCGAAAATGAGTCCAGAAAAAAAGAAAGATTTCGTTACCTAATAAGCTTTCACCGTTATCTTATATTCCTTAAAGAATGAAATATTTCATTTTTATTGAAAATTTGCTTTGTTGTTTCAGATGATAAACTTCTATATTTAACTACGATCACCAATGTAATGCAATTGATTAATCCACTTAAATTTTAAAACACATGAATTTGACTTTAATCATCAATATCATTAATTTGCTTTCTTTTGTTTTGGCTTCATTCTTCTCTTCTCTTCTTTTGTCGTTCTAATATGTTGTTCATCGTAATATTTATAAAATGCTACAAACTTTGAAAGAAAATTTAAGAAATTTTATAGTTAATTTAATGAGAAGTACAACAAATTAGATTTGTTCATGACCTACTAAAACGTTCGAATCAATCACGCAAAACTAGATAACTCTTACATAAGCTCCTTTGTATCTTTGTAGAAATGCAAATATAGCTACTAGTATAAATGAAAAATATCTCTTTCGTTAATAGCTTCAAACAATATGTAGTCAAAATTTTCACACACTAAATTCGAAGATCCAATACATAAAATAATGAGAATAGATATATAAAGATATATCACAGTATGTAATATTTCTAGGCACGAATATATTAGAGTCTGATTACACGTATTTTGTATTTATCAGCAAAGAATGGATGAAGATCATATATTTTGATTAGATTTCAAAGTATATGAACGTTACTGGAACGAATTATGACTGTCACTGGACAAACAACTTTGAGCAACGGAATTGTCAAAGTCTGGATTTATAGGTGTAATATTTGATTTAGAGTACATTTTGTACTTATATTTACCAAGCTCTACATTGAACTTCTCAATGTTTTTGTTTTCTACATGCATCATATTTCTGTAAAGTGCTGTATTTGAAAATGAAAAATGTCAATTTAGTAAGAGATAGATAGAGCAAAAAAATATTGTTTTATGACTAAAAACGATGAAGGATTGCTTATCTATAAAAAATTTTGACAGCATTTGAAATAATGCAAAGTTTCTATAAGATATGTATATGAATTTTTTTATAATTACATCACACTTATCTGTTTTATGTAATTGTTCTAATAATACTTGTAATTTCCTTATAAAGGATCAATCATATAATGAGATTTTATTGTTTGGATGTCTATGGTATTAATTTTATTTTAAATCTTTATATATGTATTTGAATTCACAAAAAAAATGCTTGAAATTTCTGTGTCTGTAAATAGACATCGATTGTGCTTTTTTTTCTATGCATATATTTTTATTTTTTTCTTATATAATTCTTTTTGTTCTTTTCCTTTTTTCCATTTCTTTCGTCGCCTTTTTAAAGTGTAACAGAAACATGTGAATATTACACGTATCGCAAATATTACTTTGATAAAAAAAAACCTTTAACACACACAGAAATAAAATTGTCTGATGAGTTGATATTGAAATTAGTTTTAACATGACTTCGAAATGATCATTAAAAATGTTGATTAGAATTAGTAAGTACAACGAAATTATTTAAGTTCAACTAATCCATAGAATTAAAGTATAATTGTTAAATATATTTTAATTTGTAACAACATATGTATATCTATTTAACTTCGAAAATATCAACAAATAAATATAAAGTTCTAAAAAACCGAAGTAATTTTTTTTTCGGATTTTTCTAATTGTCATGATTTTAATCAAAAATTTGTTTTTTTTAGAAAACTTACATTTGTAGATGTCGTCTAATAATATTATACTACCAAATGAAATTGTTCGTTTGATTTTATTACATTGTCAAACATCGCAAGATTATTTATCACAATCATTAGTTAATCGCCAATGGTCATGTGAATCTCGTCGATTAAAATCATTTATGAAAACACGTTTTTCACGCAAGATAACATTATTTAATTATCGATCAATCATATGGAATTTTGATATTCGTGTAACTATTGTTGGTTATGGGAAACATGTTCAACGTCATGGCTTAGAAGAATGTGTACAAACTTATCATCGTGTTGGAGGACCTAGTGCAAGTGTTTATTATTTAGAACGACATTGGCAAGAAGGAAAATTACATGGATTAGAAATTATTCGTGAGATTAATGAAATTTGGTATACTAAATATTATCCGAATCAAATAGAAATATCTAATGAAATGATTGATCATCCTTATGAAGGGTTACAAGCCGTAGATTCAATGAAAAAATATGGAAGACATAAAATAGTACCAAAGAACGGAATATTACCCGAAGGATGTGATTATCTTGGTAAAATTGTATTTAAATACGAATGGATATCAAGTACATTAGAGGAAAGTAGACAAGTGAAGCGAAATTTAATAAATGAATATGATCAATCTAATGTCAATGGTTTATATGATGTTATCGATAACACTGATTTATGTCAAATGTCTTTGAAATGATTACTTGCATGAAATGAATACATGTAGAATTCAATGTTTCAATTCTTTTTATTCATTTATCTAAACATGGTTTTTTTTAATACAATTTTCTCTAGTGAACCGTAGAGATTTTTTCTAATTTTAAAATATTTTCATTGTTTTAATGAGAGTCAAGTATTTCAAATTCGTTGCTGTATGAAAATCATATTAAAGTATACCAACTAAAACGAAGTAAAAAAAAAAGATGATGATTGCTCTTTATGATAAGATTAATATTAGATTCAACTTGTCTACGTTGTTTTTTTCGTGTTAATAATATGAATATTTAGGAACAATGTTACAAAAGTCAAAAATTAGTATCAACATCGAAATCATCATAAATAAGTTATTGATGAATATAAATTTCAGTCCAATCGTAAATATTTTTCATAAATGTCTCATAATTGTCTTTAACTCTCGTTCTATAATCATTTTCTTGTTATTAGAAATCGATATTCTAAGAAACTCTTATATTTAAGACTTAAACCTGTTAGTACAATCTCTGCAGAATTAAAATGTGAAACACGATATAGCTACTATTCTACTCAAAAAATCTTATAGATTTGACTTCCAATAATTAGCAAAAATAACAGAGTAAAATTTGAATTTTGAGATCAGATGAGCTGAATCTGCGGTTGAAATTTCTTTCAATGAAGAGAAATTCACTAAAAACTTTTTCAATTTTCAAAATAAATCACTTTGTTAAATATATATATTAAAAATAAACAAAGAGAGAAACAAGGCTACTACGTACTCAAACTAACCCTATGTAAAAGATAAATTAGTTTCGTTAACCATCAAGTAATACTAATAGTCTTGGCACTTGGTCATTCCGGAACCGATTTCTCACAACTGAACTAAGACTTAACAGTTTTCATGTTAGATACTATTCACTTTTCTTATAAAATAACACTAGTTGCCTCAAATCGTGATGAAATCATCCGGGATAAGGATAAGAATAAGGAGTTAGATTGAGGTTTTCTAACTTGTTATCTTGCCTTTAACGGTTCCATTGCGGCTTGTGGAAAACAGTTTGTTATATATATTAGGAAAAACAAAACAAAGGTTAATCTAAACAGCGACACAAGCCGACGAAATGCTCTAACACTGTCCACATCTGGAGGACATAACAAAGTAAAACATAATATATAGGACATATACATATCGAAGAAAAAATGTATTGAATGGCCAAAGAAATTAAACAAAAATCAGTTGGATTGTTTTCTGTTGACAAATCAATCATGAAATTCGTGTCCTGATTTCTATGCAAGAAAAACTTGATTAGCTAATTTTCTACATTAAAAAATATTCATGTAGACAATAATTCTTTTAAAACTGCCTCTTCATGCGTAGGCACACACTAATGGATTCTGCAGATCTGTTTGAGATTACGTTTGTCTCGGACTGTGACAGGAACAACGAAATGACACGTCGTTAAGATGTCTGTCATAGTCTGTATGTGAGGAGGAGAGATCTAAGAATTGTACATCTAAACTTCAACATAGGGATGTGCAGTTTCAATTTATTGACTACTGGCGCAATGTAGATACTACACACTGGCATCCATGTTTATTGAAGCATTCGAACATGTCACTACAAAAAGGGCATATTTTCATAGAGTTATTGTTGCAATGTTGCAGTGAACACAAGTGTCAGTAGATTCGGTATCGGTGACTCGCTGTTCAGTATTTACCCGAACACTACACATTCCTACTTCAACATTCCATTTAAATCGTATTTCACAAAATATAATTACATTAAAAATAATATCAATTAGGAATATTAAGCAATGCATACATATATATTTATCTTTATTTTCCATTACACTAAAAAACCATATTACAATCTTCGACAAAAAAAAAAAAAAAGTTTGAAAAAAAAATAATTCACTCGTAGTATTACATTATAATATTATCCAAATTTGGAAAAAAACAATCACTTCTATTTTATTTTTCGTTTTAGGAATCAAGAAAGAAAGAAAGAAAGAAAAAGAAAACAAAATTTCAAATAATACTAAAATATACATATAAAAAAATGAGCTACATGAAAACAAAACAAAAAAAAAATACAATCAATATAGAAGCCAACAATTATTATTATCAGCAAAAAAAAAATAATTATTATTATTATTATTATTATTATTATTATTATTATTATTAATCTACTCGAGATTGTTCAAACTATGACTTGATTAATTTTCAAATGGATTTTTTTTTTTATGTAGAAAAATTTTTATCAAAAGATTTTGGTTCGGGTTTAGTATCATAAAATAAAATGGAAGGTGTTGATTTCTATTTAAAAATAAAAATAATTAAATAAAAAATGTTGAATTAATTTTCTTACATTATTTTGGCATGATGAATAAAATGAATGATCTTCTTGATGAACTATGCAACATAATGGAATAGATAAATCAGTTTGGACGGATTGATCATTCTTGAGCTCAGATTTTTCTTTATCAAACTAAAACAAAAAAAGAAATATTATAACTTTAAATAAATCAAAATTAATGTACCATTGAAAAATCAGATGTTAAAATATTTAAATTTCTTTTGGAAGATGTTCCTACTTCATGACCCGTAAGTTTAGATGTTAATAAAGAAAAATTACTATCAACTGGTTTAGTAGTCTAAAAGAAAAAAATCAAAATGATTATAATTAATATTTTCTAATCGAATAGAAACTACCGTATAATTATTTTCATGACTATTTATATTAAACTGTTCGGTAATTGACGAAGAAGATATTTGAAAATCTAAAGAAAGAAGATTGAAACCATTTTTTATTTTTTTTTCAATAAAATATCAAAAATCGACTTACCATTACTTGTTTTCACACGTTTTGCATTATCATTCGAAAAAATTGAGTGATGATTATCAAAAATAGATGAACGTGAACGTCGATTATTATTATTATGAAATTTTAATGTATCTCGTCGTTTTTGTTGTGTTAATTCAAAATGTTTTATACATAATAATTCACATTTAGCAATATTACGACAAAATTTATCGTATTTACACAATGGTAACCATTTACTATTTTTTAAAATAAAACGTCTACCATTGGGCATAAATTCTATTTGACCTTCATTTATAATTTTATTTTTATTAGAATTTAATAATAATTGTTCATCATTATCCATAATATTTGTTGTACTTATTGTATTATTTTGATCTTCATTTTCAATTCGAGTTTGTGTATTATCAAATGAATGTCGTTGATGATAAGAAGAAACTTGAAATGATGAAAGATTATTTGACCATGATGATGATGATGTTGATGATTGAGTATTAGATTCATATTCTTCTTTGTAATGTGTTATACAAAGAGATTTTTTATTTGTTTGTTTTCGACATTCTTAAAATAAAAATAAAATAAAATTCTTTTCTTTTTATTTAATTAAGTTAACAGATATTTATTTTTTTGAACAACAGGTTATCTTCATAGTAGATCTTTTAATAAATAAAAGTCTGTTGAAAAGTAAGTCTATGTATGAAATTGAGGATTGAAATGAAGTGTATGGTATGTAGAATTTTGAAAGAAATCTACGAAAGTAAAAATATCAGCAATGAATGATATTGGTTGAGGATTAAGATTGAAGATTTTGTATGAACGCAACCAGTAGCACAAATTGAAGAGACTCTAGTTTAGTTTTTTTCGATCGGAAAAGACCAATTTTTATTGATAATTCAGCAGAATTTATTTTTCTATTTTTGCCATAGTTAACTGGAGTTTGTCAAGTTACATAAGAAAACGTATGTTTCATAAAAATAGAAAAAGAAATTTTTACGAAAGTCAGCATTTTTAGCGTTTTTTTCATTATATTGGGAAAGAATGGCGTCGTGAGCTTTTCTCTTAAAATGTTTTTAAAGAACCTTTTTTTTATAGAACTCGACGAACTCTATTCAACCATGACAAAAAGAAAAAGATAAATCTTACTAAAATTTTGAATTGTTGGTACATAACATACGCTATAAATATCTTAAAATTCGATTATCTCAGTCCGTACGCATCTCATATTTTTTATTTGACATCCGAATCCATTTTATGTTCTCGAATTACAATATACATCCATCAACTATGAGTTCCTTTAAGTTTTATGAGAATTTCGATCTGTTCTGTACTTTTGAAAAGTTCCGATGGTGTCTACCACAGGAAGATTTACTCTATTTCAACAATTATTAATTCTTCAAGAACTAAAATGCATGAATCGATAACTAAACCTTTTAAAAAGTCTGATAGATGTTCACTATGGAGTTGTTATATTATATCTCATAATTTCATAGATAAAAATCTAACTCATACGTATTCATTTCATTAACAATAAACTTTGATTTTATATGAAATCTTTTATATTAATAATAATCGAACCTGGTCTTCGACATAATATTTGCCATCGAACACCATCAAAAATTTTTCGACGTCCTTTACTTGTAACTTCAATTTTTCCTTTATAAGCTGATGATAATGATGGATTTACAATTGTACATGTTGATAATAGATTTGAATAATAATTTTTTTTATTATTTAATTCTGTTGTTTTATCAAATACAAAATCATCATCTGTATTATTTTCACATTTAATATATGTTATTAATAAATCTTTATCATTTATATTATTTTGTTTTGTTGACATGACAATTTATATAATATCTTAAATAATAGGACAAGAAACAAATCAAATAAAGTTTGTTTTTTTTTTTCAAATGATTTTAATTAACAATAAAGCACAAGCAAATATGTTCAACAACGTGTATGAATAAACAATACAAACTTACAATTATCATCATCATCATTTTTTTTTCTCTTAACACAAAAACAAAAAAAGAAAAACGAAAGATAACAATTGAATTTTTTTTTTTAATTATCTGATTTGAGCCTTTTGTTTTTTGGAATTGGAGATTTACAAATTGATATGATCGATAACAGAAGATTATTATTATTATTGATTGATATGTTTTTCTTAACTAGTCATTGATGATATACTACCAATACAATCTTGAATTTTTGCTAAACGGTAACTAATACGTTGACAATCAAGTTTAAATTCTTTTTTTTTCATTTCTTCAACACGTAAAAAATCTTGTAATGTTTCACATGGAGATTCGATTCCATTTGTATGTATAGGTGGAATACAAATTAATGATTCTTCCTCCTATGAAAAGAAAAAAAAAATGTTTAATATTTTATAAATAATTTTTCTATTTTTTTTGTTTTTTAAAAAAAATCAAAGTTTGTATTAATATTACTTCTTTTTTAATAATTGTTCCAAATTGTTCAAGAATTGCAGATGTCGATGTATCATAAATAAATGGTGGTGGTGATGATGATTGAATAGGAATTTCAATAGATTGATCATTTATATCAAATTGATTAGATTTTAATGATAATGTAATATCAGATTCATTTGAAATAGGTTCTTCAATTGATTTTTCTTTCATAGGAATATCAGAAATCTAAATAAAAGTAAAAAAATAAACTACAAAAAATGAGAACAAAACAAAGATCGATTACAGATGAACTAGATGAATTAGTTTCAAGATGTAAAGTGATTGATTTATTCGAACCTAAAAAAAAAAAATCAAAGAAATATTTTGAATGTTTCATGCTGATATTTATTATTATTGTTTTTTTTTCTATGACACAAAATAATTTTTTTGTTCTGATTGGATAACAGTCGTCGAGTTACTTCTAAAAATCTTTTGTTTTTTTTTTCGGCATATCCAAACAATATTTTTACAATCAAACTTAGGTAAAAATAGAAATCACAAAAGTCTATAAAAAGGATTTGGTGGAAAAGATAGAAGAGAAACAGTTAAGTGTATAAATTTTAATTCCGCTTTTTGTTGGATGTGAATATATAGACTCATTCATGCGTACAGTCACACTCATCCTTTGAAAAATATATTGTTTGATTGTTAAGAAAATCGATATGATAGTAAAATACCATAGAGATCTAGGTGGAAAATATCGAAATAGTGAATTTTTTCCTTGTGATACATAATAAATCCTAAGTTTTAATACTTTTATCCTGAAGAACAAAAACAACAGTTTTGTCTTCAAAGATTTTTGACAATCAAAACTTCAGTTTCAAATGAAACAAATATTATTTTCAAAATCTACATTGAATAATATACTCAATATTTAAAATATGTTTTCGTCAAATTTCAGCCATTACACTCTTCCACTATTATTACCTGAGCCTGCTCCAAGGTCAAAACTTCATGAAAATTAGTTTTGAATATACTATGCGATTTAGATTTTTTGAATTTGCTTAATTTGAAACTAAATTTCTGATATTTAAAAATCTTTAAATATAAATTCGTATTTAAAACTTGTTTATTGAAGAAAATTGATTTTCTCAACAAAAATTCTATTTCTTAAGTATAATCATAAATATTATAAATCCATCATTTATGACATTTTTTTTTTTTTTGTATTTCGTTTACATTATGTTTAAGATTGACAGGTTATATTCAAGATAGTGAATAGTTCTGTACATTTATCATTGTCATATTAGACAATATCAATAGAAATATTAAGTTTTTTTTTTTTTTCTTTTCTCTCGTTCTATTGTATACGATAATCACATTATATGAAAAGATACTTTAGTTAATGATTGTATATTAATCAAAATAAACAAAAAACAAAAAGAGAAAAAAGTTAATTAATATTTACCTTTTCGATGTCTTCGATTAGATTTTCTTTTTGGAACAATATGTTCTTCATTATTTATATCACCTGTTGTTTTTCGTTTTTTACTATTTTTTATTTCTATTATTGTATTATTTTTTATTGATGTATCAATAGTATCTGACAATAATGATTCAATATGATTTGAAATATTTTCATTGGATTCTTTAATAGATATATTTTGACTTCGAGATTTACGTTTATTAAAATTATTTTTCTTATCAGCACATAAATGTTTCCATATTAATCCATTACATCGTACTCGACGTCCATGACGTGTATGTAATTCACGTTTTCTTAATGGTGATATAGTAACTGTTTCAAATATATTTTCATCAGACTGATGATGTTTATTATTTGGTGATTGAAATGAAATATTATCTTGTATTGAAGAAGATGATTTATTATTTGATTCAATATGTTCATGTTCGTCTTCTAAATGAAAAAATTTTGTATAGAATTCTTTAAATCGAATATAAATACTTTGTTGACTAGTAAGTGAATAAGATCTTGTTCGGTTTGATAATCGAGATTTTTGATCTGAGGAAAAACAAAAAAAAAGATTTGTTTTTAAAATGAATGTTTTTTTTTGTTTTGTTTATACTTGTATTTGGTAATGACATTCGTTGATTTTGATGTAATTTACAAAAATCTTTTGCTTGTATTAAACAATTATCTGCACGACATAAATTTTGCCATCGTTCTCCACGCCATATACGTCGATTTCCATTAGGTAATATTTGTGTATCACCACGTTTTGGTCGTTTTATTTGAATTTTTGATAATTGATTTAATGTTGTATTATTAGTTAAAGAAGAATTTCTATGATTTCGACAAGTTGATTTAGCTTGAATTCGACAATTAGGATCACCTTGACATAAATATTGCCAACTTGTACCAGTATATATTTTACGTCTTGTTCCATCATTTGTCAAACGAACTTCACCAATTTTTGGCTTGATTTTTATTTCATTTAAACGTGAATTATTATTATTATTAATTGATGATGTCATATTAATCTATAGAAACAAAAAAAAGAAATGATTAGATTTTCTTTTTTTTGTACATTTTTAATTAATTAATTTAATTGAATATTTATATATCAATTTATATACAATAAATATTAAATAGAAAGATTTATATAATTTTGAGTTTTATATTTTGAAAAAATAAAAATAAAAAAAAAGAAAAGATTATGAATGAAACAAAAAAACAATAAACAACTAAAACAGCTGGAGATATCAATCAATGATATGATTTAAAATACTAGATGTCGCTTTATTTCAAAGAAAAAAAAAGAATCTTCATGATTAGCAAATATATATATATATAAAATTTTAATTTAAAAAGAAATATTATTTGTTTCTTTCATATGAAAACAAAACATATTTTTCTTTGATATCTTTCTTAGAATGAACAAATTGAGAAAATTCATATTTCGATGATTTTTTATTTTTCAAGAATTGTAAACTTTACCTACAAAAAAAAAAACCTATGATAAAATGTCATAGGAATTCAACCGATTCTTTTTCAGCTCTAATGAGCTATTAAATTTTATTGAATTTTATATGTAATAATATTCCCTTGTTTCTTCTTTCTACCGTTGAAAGTCTCAAATTGTTCGCAGAGAACTATTATAATGAAACACTTGAACAGTTTTTTTATTTTTTATTCGAAATCAATTTATATTCTTCAGCAAAAATTCACATCTATAGAAAAGAAAACTATTAATTTTGAGTTCTATAGAATTCATATATTATTTAAAAGTCATTTTTAACTTTCAATAATATTTAAAGTACTTTTCTTTATTATAAATTTTGATAAAATCACTAAGCAACTATACATGTCTAACTGAATTATATTCGAGAAACAAAAAAAAACGATATATCAAGAGAATCAATTGTTATTTCTTATATTAATAATTTTAATTAAAGATAAAAATAACTCTGTTCTTTTATCTTTCTTTTTTTTTTTTTTTGATTCATTTCTAAAGAACTCTTATAGTTGTTTTATTTGAAGAGTAATTCAAAAAACAAAAAGAAAACAAGTAATTGATGAATATTAACATTTATGTCAATTATTATAATTTATATTACTTTGAAAATTACATGTTTTTCATTTAATAAACAAAATAAAATTTTAATTTGTTTTTTAAAATAACAAAATTAACATTTTATAAAATCTATTATACTCTGTTATCTATAAATTTATGTTTGATTAATCTATTCAAATAAAACTTATCAAAATGCCCTTGATTTCCAACCATGCATAGAAATCAGAAAATTATGACAAGAACATGTCATTTTGTTTCTCAGTCAAAGAAAGACCATGTAATTTATCATCAAGCAACATTACACAATAATTTCTATGTCAAAGAAAAAAATTTCACTGAATTAAACACATGATAATCTTTAGTTTATTTTAAGAAAAAGAAAAAACAAACAAACTAAATATTATTATGTTCATTCTATTATTTTCATCGAACAAAACCCATTAGACCATCAGCAATTTTAAAACTATAAAAACTACCATTAGTATAATTTATTGTTGGACTAAAATAAATCGATGGAATAGATATTTGTGATAGATTTTGTTTGGCAGCAATGCATAAATCTTTATAACCACCATAAACAAAAAAGAAACCATAAAAATCTTGATTACATCCATTTGTTGAAAATTTAAAATTACAATTAAATGATCTTATACATTCATTATCTGTATAAATTGATGTCATTTGTGTTGTACCTATTGTCATATCTCGATATTGTATTATATTCCAATATTGATTTGAAATAAGACTTTTAATTGAAAACCAATTTGTTATGTTTGTTTGTGAAGCATTAAAAATAAGAAAATCAAAAATAATTGTACGATTAACAATAAATGCAAGAGCTATTTGATCTGGTATGTATAACATTTGATTCCATTGAGATATTAAAATATTAAACCAATGAAATGTTATTTGATTAATTGAAATTTTTGGTATATTTATTAATGTTGTTAAATTACTTGAATTTAACCATAAAAATGATTGATTATTACCAGTATATAATTTAAAAATAGGTATCCATGGTTTTATTGTATTTGAAAAAAGATTTGTAGGATTTGATAAATAAGTTCCATTATCAATATAAACTGAATTAAGTGTTCGATCAGTAAGAATAGTTACATTTGATATTAATGATGTTGATAATTGTGAACTTTTTATTGGATATGTTGCATATAATTGACAATAATATATATTATTTGATTGTTTCATAATACTAATCGAAAGACAATGTGGATGATAAATACAAGAACATATACATGGATTTGATGTTGTTAAATTTATTTTTAAAAATGAACTACCAGTTGAATAAGTTGCATTAATAATATTAGCAACTGATAAAGAATTTATTGTTATAATATATATTAATAAAAGATAAATAAATATGAATAGTAATGTTAAGGACATATCTCTACATCAATGAGTGTTATTCAAAAAAAAAATAATTGATAATAAAAATAGAATAATAAGAGTCAATTGAAACACAAAAAAAAAAAAATAAATAATTTAGATAAGTGAACGGAAGGTGAAGTTTTTTATTTGTAGTTATTCAAATAGAAATTGATAGAAAGAGAAAAGTCATTTATTTAGTAGCATTAATTAATATAATGAATGCATTTTGAGATCGATAGTTTTCTTACAATTTCAATGTATTTTTAATCAAAAAAAAACAAACAAACAAGAATGTTTCTAACATTTGATAATCTTTTCAATAGTATAATGATGAAATAAAGATTTATTTAATAATTTTTCTTTTGCTTTTGTTAATAATAAACATATAACAATTTTCCATCTATATTTAATGATTATAAATATACAGAAATTTTCTTTTATTCGAAAAAGAAAAAACATTAAACAATTATTTTATTTATAAAATTGAATAAAAATTCAATTAATTAGTCATTAAAAGATTTTTGAAAAAATTTAATTGTAATTAAAATGAGCACTAGAAAATACAATCAGTTGATGAGCATGTTTATGAAGAAATACTTCATTCCCATATGAAACCATACATATTAAAAACGAATGAAACGAAAGAAAATATAAACGTATACCTTAATAGTCATTTTATGACTGACTGGCTGAATAATTTTTTTTCTTTGTATTTTTATATTAATTCTATTAAATTTCTTCTAAACAAAAGAAATTCATTTCTCTTATAGCTTCTTCTTCTTCTTAATATGATTGTTATCTGCATAAGACGTTTTGACCTTTTTGTTTATGAAGGTCGAAATAGTTGAAGGATTTCTTCTGTCGGAAAGAGATTTAAACAATGAATATTTTTTTTTTTTGTCAAGAAAATATTTCTTCGTGACTTTATGCGAAGGGAAGGATTTCCCTATTTTGAAGAATATTATTCAGTCTCTATTATCATTTATGAATTTCATTTAGTACAATGGATAAATGTAGAACATGACCTCAATCCTATTGCTTGAGGTTTTATGAGATTTAAGAGATATAAAACAAATGATGAAGGTATTCAGATAGATTTGAAGTATTAAAACTCTGTTGAACTTCTTTGAATGATTAATCATACCTTAAAACAAAGAATATATTTATTTATTCATCAAAATCATAAAAAAAAAAATAACTCATTATATGTTATGTTACATATATAACCTAATAGGATGTTGATATTTTCAAGATATTGGTTTTTTTTTTCTTACGATATTTTAATAAATAATTATGATGAAAATGAATTAATTCTAGAAATTATTTAAACTATTCTCGTCTACCTTGTCAATGAACTTGAAATCAGACAAGAAAAAATGAATATTTTATTATATTCTATTAATTATTGTCACACATAGTTTGCCACAAGCATAAAGCAATGTTTGAACGATAGTAATATATATATACAGAAATGGTAATAAAAGATTACAGTAGTATGACTGATGTCTTTCGATAAATGTTAAACGAGTCTAAAATATATGTAAAGAGAGATATTAACGAGTAAAGAAATATTTCGAAAAAAATAAAATCATAAACAAACAATTGAAAATAATGAAACGAAACAATCATTGATTATTTTTGATGATAAAAATAATATCTTTATTTTTAGTATTATAATCTATTCATATCATCTCATAGATTCTAATCTTTTATTATAATTTTTTTATCATAGTCTATATTTAAAACTTAGTTTTTTATATTCACATAGGATTTCTTCAATGAATGTCTTAGAATGATGTTTTGATCTACAATCTAATAAAATCATTGATAATATATTGATATTATCAAAGCTAAAATTCAATACAATAAGTAAATGATTTCTTTCAACCGAATAAAATCTCATCATCACATATAAATGTTCAAAAACTAGATACCATATATTATCTATCAAAATTTTTCATCTCTTTTTTTTTTTTACAGCTTCTTTCATTTTATATGACCTGTTGTATTCTCATTTAGCATAAAGAATACTTTGAAATAAAAGTGCTAATCTATCTATTTTTAGAAAAAAAAAAACAAACTAGGTTTCATCAAACAAATTATTCGTGTAATATCGAGATGAATTGTTTGCACAATGTCAAAAACAGAAATTTACATTAATCTATTGTCAAATTTCAGAAAATAAAAAAGCAAACGCTAGAATATTCTTATACAAAATACTCTAGTCGACATATGAAATCATTACGGATAAATCAATAGAAAAGTCATTAAGAAATGCAATGAAGTAGAGAATTTGTATAGAGAAAAAAAAAGCCATCAGTCATTCAGCCAAAAATCCTTCAAACATGAATGATGAAGAGAAGAAGAATTATACTACGATGTCAGATCAGAGATCATCATGAAATCACAAAAATCAATGCAAAGCTAGCCTTGAAAGATAAGAATCATGTTGACTATTATAATCTTATGACATTCTCTATGTCAAATCATTTAAAAACTTTTTAATTTCTAAATAATATCTTATTTATATTTTTGATATGAATAATAATATTTTTAAAATTTGACAATTGAAAA